AAGCATGCTTCATTGACTCTCATCCAAGCCTCCTAGGACAGGGCGAGGGGACCTTTTTTCTTTTGAGGGCTACTGACCCACAAAGAAAAAAACTAATCAAGGGCCATGTACAAAAAGCAACTTAATTTAGGTGCTTCCTTAGAAAACCATAAAGCATTCAATTCACCTGCTTTTTAAATTAAGAACAGGGAACTCTCAACAAGTACAACAAATAAAAAAAAATCCTTTGGTGTCGTAATGTGCTCAGTTAAAGAGCGGGGAGGGGGGGCAAGACAGAACAATGTAGGGAGAGTAAAAAGAATGGAGAGCGGCCAGGAGCCCTGGAAGGGACTAGAAGAGATACTGGGAAGAGAAGTTCTGTGGAACAGGGGTCAGGCAGGCAGGAGGTGGGGTTAGAGAAATAGAGGAGGGAAATGATAGTCGCAGCTTCCAACCCACTGTTCACTTGAGTGACTGCGTTAGCTGTTTCCCTGCTCCTCTGTGGCTCCACTGCTTAAGCCTTTCAAGTGCTACTTCTTAAGAAAGGCTCTGTGTCAGAATCACCTAGGCGTGTGCCAGTGCCACCCCCAAGGTGGCTGTCTGCCCGTCCCCTATCGGAGTCCTTGGTCCCTAGGAGTACTCAACTCTCACAGCCTAAAGAAAACTCCGTGGTATCTTTCTGAAATGAGAAGTACCCAGGACCCCCAGGTTTAGAAAGGAGGTCCCCAGAAAGAAAAGGCATTTCTCTTTCAGTTACAACATTTTAGAAGCAGCGTCAAACAGACAAAAGAGAAAGCCTTTCAAATACATGTGTCCTGGCTTTTAATAGGAACCATTTCAGCTGTTGCAAGTAAAACTATTCCAGTTTTTAAAATCCAGGTGGCTGCTCCAGTTCTTGGCAGAATGCAGGGCTCTCATTCCACCCTCAGCCTCACTGAGATGTCTCCCTTTCCCACCCTGGGCTTGTCAGTGGCAGAAACACTTGTGGCCCTGAATCCCCAGTAGCCTGAAGTATGGCTTGTGATTAGATTTACAAATGTGTCTTGGACGGCATGTGTCTCGGGCAGGGCTTTGGGCAAGAATGTCAAATTACATTTTCAAGCAATGCTTTTTTAGAATAAGTGGTATGTTCAAGACTATTTGGGCAAAAGTGAGACCTGGAGGGGTGCGTTCGCATGGCCTGAGGACCGGACCGCTAGGCCACAGACACATTAGCCATGGATCTACCTCATGGTTCCTCTTCGCAAGCCCAGCCTTTGACCATGAGACAATGTCTTCCTAGAAAGGTGGCTCTAAAATAAAGTCAGACTCTTTGTTCCTTTTTTTTATTAGGTATCACCCAGACAAAGACCTGCGCAGTGTTCAGGTAGAAGCAGGTTCCCATGTGGCCCCGTGAGAGTGCCTGGTGGGCCATGCAGCAGGTGGACTTCTGGGCCCTGCTCCACCTTTTGCATGTGCCAGTGAGAGCCTCACTGCCTGCTTTCAGCAGATCACCGTAGGTCAACCTCATGTTGCTCTCACCCATTTGGAAAGGGTATCTCCACTGTGTAAAATTCCTGTGGGCAAATTTAAACGTCTCAACATGTAGTGCCTTTTAAATTCAGAAAATTCTTTCCTGTTGTCTCTTCAATTTTCTGGCTTTGGGTTTAGGGGTGTGTGTATGTGTCTGTGCCCCAGGTGTTTTTCCTTGGACTTAGAAGCTTATTTTATTTGGATCTGATAAGTGACACTTTTGTTTGGTAGTATGTATGAACCTCGTTAAGATTTGGGGGAAGGAGGGACATTGGTGACCTTGGACAGAGGCTGTATGTGGAACACCACAGAACCTTTTCCGGGCTTGACAGCCGGCTTGCCCATGATAATCTTCAAAAGTAGCTACTCCTTTATTATAATTCACTTAAAGTACTCTGTATGTCTTAAGCTGTTATTCTGAGGATTCTAATTTTCTAGGGGCTGTGAGCATGGTACGTACTATGTATTATAGCTACTACAAGCTTGTACTTAGTGGGGTCCTTCGTATTTTCTGTATTAAGATGTGCTTGGGAGAAATCCTCAATCCTGAAAGCAGGAGACAGATGCATCTCTGTCTGTAAACACATGTTGCAGGGCCCACGGCCTGCTGTGATCTGGTGAAACCAGTGAAGAGCGACTTTTGTGTCTGGTGGTCACAAAGGTATTTACATAAAACTGAGCTGCAGCAACCCTTCTCCTTCACTGACGATATTCAGGCTATTGTGCCCATAGAGGATTGTTTCCTTTCGTCCTTCCTTTCATAGATCCTTAATGCCACACCCCCTCTTTGTGGCTGGCAGTCAGGCCCTTCCTACTTTTTAATTTCCAGGAAGGAAAACTAATCAGGAGTATATAAGCTTAAGTAATTATTTGCATATGTGCAGTGGACAGTCCTAGCGAAAGTGAAACAAATGGGGGTGCTCAGCCTTACCTGAGACACTCCTCACAAAGCTAATTGGGCAAATAGGGGAAAGCAAGACTTCTTTCCTCAGAGCACTCAGGGTGCAAGCAGCGGCCAGTTATGGCCTGTTTCACTTCCCATGGCTGTTGTCCCACTAGTGTTGTTAGGAACATGGGCCCGGCGTCATTCATCCATTTATTTATTGTACATGCTTAACCACTGAGAGGTTCATATGTCTTCAATATACTCATTCCTGAGTTCCAGAGCTTTTGATTCTTTTCAGACCTCTTTTGTCTTACATGGAATGTGGACAGCAGTAATAGAAGGAGCAGTGAAAGTGAGTCCTTATAAACATCTGTACGAAATTATGCTGGGGTACCTATACCACACGAGTCTTTCACAGAGGGACTACCTGATCATACCTTAGTGGGGTTTATTTTCCAGTGGTACCATATCTTGGCCAGTTATGAGGAAGAGGTATGATCTCTTTAAAGCACAATTTTTGTTCTGTGACAGAGGAGGAACAAGGAGGGGTGAACTTTGGGGTTTCTAGAAACCCTTATCTCCAAACCACGAGCAGCATGTGTTGGTTTAGGGGAAGAAGGTACTACTCAGTGGGCTGAGCTCCACTTTCCCTTGACTCTTTGGGTCACATTAAAGAGGACATTTATTGGATGCCATTAGTCTAAATTGGGGTGAGTGGTCATACCGCACAGAGGCATAAGGTCAATGCAGTGTTTAACATCTGTACAGGAGATGCAGATTCTTTGTGACTTACAGATTCTTATTACCCAACATGAAACCCCATTGTTTCACTTTACTTCCCCACAGAATAACTTGTTACTCATAGATTTGCTCAGTTTTTGGTCATTACCCCACATTGGACCAATCGTTCTTTTTTTTTTATTAAAAAGTTTATTTTTACATCATTTTGCACATTTTTTTTTCATCTCAATTGTAATCCCCACGGGTTTCCCATCACCAAATC